GAAGGCTGGGGGGCTGTTTCAAGGATGTGGAGAGCACATTGCTGGGTCACCATGACAATGAGACAGCAGGAAGGAGAAATGTTTGCCATCCAGTCACATAACCCCAGCATAACACTGCTCTAGTTAAACAATATGCCAGAGGGCTAAGAAGGGCTTACTCAGTGTTGCACAGTAAATAAAATGCACCATCTCTGGGTGGAGATGGGAAGGGAACTTTCTGCCTCCTAAACACACGTCTGTGGCATCACCTGGGCTTCACAAAGACCTATTTGGGCACATGAATTAATCCTGCTGCAGATTATAACCTCACACTGCTGCTAAACCCACCAACATTCTGGCCCAGCCTTCCCAAAATCCCACTGTCAAGTCCCTTCCCCTTGAGGGTGGATTGTCAGAGGATGCAAATGAAATGATGAAATGATGCAAAAAAAACCCCCACAAAAACCATTCTGCTACCACAAACCATCTAAGGGACGTTGCAAAGTTAGGCAGCACTTTATGGATGCTTATGGAAAAGTCATATCCGACAGGTGGCTTTTGCTCCATGACCCTCAGAAATCCAGTTATGCTTTTCTTCTCCTGCTTAAAGACTTTACTTGCTCTGCTGTTCGACTCGAGGAGCTCAGCAAGTGCTGCCCCCTGCACAGGGCCTCTGTGTCCCTGTGTGCAGGGCTGGGAAGCTGCATCACTCTGGGCACAGGAGTCCCCTGGGGGCACAGTTTCTTTTTCAAGTCCTGAGGCAGAAATGCAGCATATCAGACACACGGTCCTACATTTTATACCATGCTAGAAGCTCGTGGCCCTTCCTCTTACTCCAATTCACTTAGAGAACCCTAAGAGTCCCTGTCTCTCTCGGACATCATGTTTTGCCATCATTCCCAGCCCTCCTCTGCTGTGAGTCCTGGGAGAAGAATGCTCCCTTGATCAGCTTGTCTCCCATCCTCCTGTAGCTGCCCTTTATTGTTTGACCCAGTTTATCAGATGGATTTAAACAACCTTCAGAAATCTGTGCTAAGTCTACCCTAGTCTGACTTCACTCCTCTCAAACCCCATAAGTTTTTTTTGCAAATGAGCCTCCTGCTTTATCAGCTACTTCTGTTGTATTTAATAGAATTGAAATGCTGGACTGATGAATCTTCTCACTGAGGGAAGATTCCAGCTGGATCCATGAAAAGGGTTCTCAGCAGGAAGGATGCACAGAAACCAACAAACAAGGGGGTTTGGGACCACAGAACCCCTGATATGCACAACACAGGGGATATTAAAAAGTGGGGAGGAGGCAATGAGCAACAAGCACCCTGGGTTACTGTGCCTTTTAATCCCCTGGCTCCCCCTCTGGCTGAATTAGCTGAATTCTGTGGGATAGCTTGATAGGCATTTAAGGAAACAAACTACACTGTTTCATCCTGTGTAGCCCAATAATGGGCAGCATCAAATGAACTGAGCATCAAGCTGGGATCACCCAGTTACAATGGCAGGAGAAATTAAATAGTGTTAATTAGAGGGAGAATATGGAACTCTTTCTGCCTGGAATGTCTCTTCTCTTAGCTGTCAAAAGCTTCCATGGCTTGGCTTATTAAAAGCCAAGTTGACAGGAAAGCTGAAGGGAATAAAGGAGCATTCTCCATTGTGTGCCAAGCCAGCTGAGGGAAGACTTGAGTTCCAGACTGACTTCTAAAGAACAGCAAAAGGTTAATGAACTTTTATCCCAGCCACCATTTATACATCTGAAGGTCCCTCTAACCAGACCACAGACACTTCTGCTCTTCTTATACTACACGATCAGGGAAGGGGGAAAGAATCAGAGATAAAAAAGATTTTTTTCAGTCTCCAGAAACCAAAGAAACCTTCTGTGACAGTAGTTTTCCTACTGGCTGTGCAGATACCTGTTCATATTCCATTTTAAAACTATATCCAAAACAAATTTTCCCCCTGTCTTATTGATATTTGGTATAAGTCAGACTGTAATCTGCATTAACAAAAGGAGCTTGATTCTTTGAGATGCAATGAACTCTCATTTCCCACTGAGCCTGTGGAAGAGGTCAACATCCAAACCCACTGAAGGTTTGTATTGCTTGGAAAATGCTTTCCTGCACCTTCCATCCTCTGATAAATTGGGAAAGGGCCAAGAGAAATACCAGAGTTTCGGTTCTTTACTCTGTATTTTAAATTCATGCCAGCTTTTCTGGCAGAACTATAGAATGGGAAATACGATATTGCAAATGAAGCACAGAACAATTAGTTACATTTAATAAGGTTTATTTGCCACCTTTTGGCAATCAAGCATGTTTGCATATACTCTTCTTTAAGAACTTGTCTTTCCTCTTCTTTTATATCTACTTGCCTTTTTTCTATACTAAACAATTAATGTAATTCCAAACTACCAAACAAAAATCTGTGGGCATTTTGGACAGTAAATCTTTTCCCCGTTACACGTCTGTACAATGCCTAAGACAGATTAGTTCTGATTTTTGCACAGGACCATCTAGAAATTTTCTTTATTTAGAAAAATAGTATTTTTATTTATTTCAATTTTTTTTTTTAATGTAACTGATTCCCTTGTAAAAAATAAGGAAGGAAAGTGTCAATAGATTTCTATAAAATGCCATTATGGCAAAAGGACACTGTTGAGGAAGTCACCTACAAGTGAGCTGAAATTACAGATTAATAAATTACATAATGTCCACCCTGCAGTGCTCAAAAGTTCACATGTTTCTTTTAGTCTTTGAATCCAAGCAACACCATAATGTAAAATGTCTTAGAGAGGAAGATGCCAAAACTGACTGAAAAGTCACAGACTTTCCAATGAAAACATTATTTTTGGTCAACATTATTTGCTAAATTAAACCTAAACATATCAATCATTTTGCTCAACCCACAAGTGCATTTTGCAGTTAATATATCAATTTTCCCTCCAGTTCCTCTCAGCTTTACTTACATGCTCTGTACCCCTACCTTCCTTTAACAGGCAATGGCACATCTTTTTCCATATTTAGAAACATAACCTCTCTTAAAATGATGCTTCTATGAAAAAGCTCACTAGGACATGCTGTGACACTTGATGGACTTGGAAACTGTGCCCAGGAAAGACAGGATGTGACATGACCCCTGAAGGTGCTTTTAAGGGAAAAAACTTTACTGCTCAGTTCAAGTGCAGGATCCTTTGAGCACAGGTTTAAATGGGAATTTACTTCAGCTTCAGGAAAGCAGAATCTTAGCCCAGAAATCTCACATTAGATAAACGTGATTAATTACAAATAAATTAAATTAAAAACATATATTTTACCTTTTTATGAGGAAGAATATTTCCTAAAATGTCAATAAAGGTTAAAAAGAAATGGTTTAGTTGGTTAATTAAACCATGTAAGTTATTTTCCAGTTGCTGCTTATTTTAGGAAAGTAAAAAAGAATCTGCAGCATCATAATTCTGTTTCTTGTATTTTCTACTGATAAAAACAGGGGAAAGGCAAAAAGTGAAAGAGCTTGGAGCTAAAGTATTTGGTTTGAGGATCAGTTGAATATTTCATTTTGTCTATAGGACTAACTATAGACTTGATTATTATATAAATATTGTTCCATGGTAGTTCTCTGGCCAAATGTCTAAATTTAGAATTAATCTCTTTTTTCATGACACAGTTTCAATAATAAACATTATGATCAAGCCTAGATGAATGTTACATTATTAAAATGCCTCCTTTTTAAGCACTTGGTGGAATCACTGTTACTGTTCTGCTGGTAAAAATGAAGATTTATTTTTATGTGGCTTGAACTCAGATGACTGAGTTTTGATGTGAGCTCACCCTTAACTATTAACATTGTGTGCAATGGCAGCTTAAATGTTTTATTTTCAAATAAACAGGCAAATGGACTGTTATTTCTATAAATACTAACAGGATCATGCCCAAGCACTGGGATTTTTCAGCCTGGAGCAAGAGGAAACCACACATTTTCTGTTTATTTTTGTGGGGTTTACTATTTTAAGTAACATCAAGCCCTGGACTGAAGATATCCTGACATTTCTGGGTATTTTGAAGGAAAAAAGAGTCATAATAATTTCTTAGCAAGTTGGGTCAGCTTATGCTAAGTCACTGAGTGATAAAAAGGGTTCTCTGTGACAAGAATATTTGCAATGTCCTCCTGGATGTCCATCGCTGAGTCCTTGGCAAGGAAGCTCAAAAGGAAGATGGGACAATGGTTGATGGATGGCCTGGTCCTACTAACAAGTACCCAAATCTACACACATGCCATTAAGTGTGATTTTGGGGGGATATTTGAGAACTGTCCCTGCCTCCTTAACTGGGAACAGACTCCGACAGTGATCTCAGATGCTCTTTTCTGTCCCCTCTTCCCTGACCTCGGTGTTAACACACCCACCAAGGACAAAAACCACCGAGGTTCTTGTGCTGCCTTTGGAACAGTAAAACCTGAGCACCAGCCACGTGGTTCAGACCTGGGCATTCGTAAATGTCATTTTGGTTTTCCTTTGTTGTTACCTATTGTTTGAAGGTGCACAGACGGACAAGTGTCTGGGTTTTTTCCTGACCAATACCTGTCTTCCCTTGGTAACAACCAGCTGATTATCTGCAGGTGACAAAGTATTGGTTGAGAATCCTAACTTGCTTTTTCAATGGACAAATTCAGACATTTCTAGATGACTGCAGTTTTACAAGAATATCCTTTGAAACTAAAGGCTTTTTGCAGCCCAGAGTTGTTCCTCTGAACCTCTGCTCGGCTCAAAGCAGCTTGACCTCTGCATGTCATTTCTTTGCAGTAATAAAACCTTCTGATACACAGAAAGAAAAATGACTGAAATCACAGAATATTTTGACCTGGGAGGGACACACAGAAAAATAAGGGGTGAGAAAACGAATGAACTCAACTGCAATCCCTACACCAGCACTGCCTCAACTTGAAAGTATTGATTAAATAACTTGATATTTACATCTTCTACTGGAAGCACTGAAGGCAAATGATGCATTGCAAAGCAAACAGAGGCTGACCTTTGCACGTTTTCCCATCAGGCTGCAGGGTAAATCCAACTGGGCAACTGCACCGGACCCCTGTCGCCGTGTCCTTGCACGTCCGATCGCAGCCTCCGTTATTGACAGCACATGTTTCTGCAGGACGAGAGAGAAAGGGAGAGAGGGAGAGGGAGAGAGGGAGTGTAATGAGATGTTCTGGGGGAGGGGAGAGGCGCTGGCTCTTTGGGATATCACTGCATCACAACATATTTGGGGTGTTACAGCGCCACAACACACTGGAAGCGATGTAAGTTTAAGCGAGGCAACCGCAGCGAGCCCGCGAGGTCGGCAGGGCCCACCTACTGCTCTGGGCTGGGCAACCATTCCCACAGGTCATCATTTCTCTCTCCTCCCAGGAGAGATTTGCCTTATTATATTTACTTTTCAACCGCCTTAGACAACAGGATGGGTTATTACGCATGGAATAAGTTTAAAAAGAGGGGGGAAAAAAAAAGTGACTGCCTCTAAAAGCAGAACCAAACCTTCTGCCTGTTTTGTATCAGTCAATGTCTAGCTGAGGAATTTTGGGCTTCACTTTTAAATGATGTCGTAGGCATAATGAACTCTAAAAACAGTAGAAAGCAAAGCAGCGTGCTAGGCTTGGAACTGAGAATTTGAAAATCCTTAGTTAAGAAAGAGTTAATGGAAAATGAACTACATATATCACTTTGACAAGAATCTACATGCCCAATCTGTTCTTACTGAACTACAAGCAAAAGGCATCTGGGTTTTGTCCACTTAAAGCTTTTTGCAAATTGAAAGGAGTTTGGAGTGGGTGGGAGGGCATAATTGAGGTCACTGAACCCATTCCAAGCTGTGTCATTGAAATTTCCCAGTGCTTGTAGTATGTAGAAGGGTGGCTGGGCAAACACAGGCAAGAGAAAGTTGCAATACTTCTGAGCTTTTACTACAGTGGGCAGTGACTGTGAGGTACCACTACATTAAAAAAAAAATAAATCTTCAACTTCGTTAGAAAAAAAGCAAAACCCCTCCCTCATTGCCATTATTTCCACTCACGTATGCACATGCACACACATTACACATGCACAAGCTCACACATCACACTCACAAACACATCCATAAAATAGATAAAAGGCAAGTGAAATGATTAACTTTGTTTTGATCCACAGAATAGAGTGGATGTAAGGATGCCAATTTAGCACGTCAGTTTGAACTGGGCATTTATCTGAAAAGTATTTACTTCAGAGAGCAAGTCCTTTTAATAGTATCTTTTTCAGTTGCTCTGGCTTTGATTAAATTAAAATACCCCACTGCCCCCCAAGATTTCCATTATTCTACTCAGCTCACCTCCTTCCCTAAAGAGGTTTTGTCATTACTTACTCAGATTTACAGACTCCTATTGCTGAATATTCACAGCCTGTGTCACAATTGTACCCTGTGGACAGGGTCTGACAATAAGCTATAGGATATGCTAATTGGGAATTGCCTTAGAACAGTACATTGATCAAAAATTATTTACACAGAACAGAACAGGCTTTATCTTTTAATTGACTAGTACTAAAAGATTTTTTTATTTTAAAGCAGCCTCCGTTTTGTCCTCAAGGTGAACTTAGACTGGCCCTTTGGAGGGACTTCACTGCTTTAAAATAGGAAAAAGAAAAAGTGTAACTGGTTTCTTTTTGAGTTTTTTAGTTGTTTGTTTTTTGGTTTTTTTTTTTTTTGCACTGGCACAGGCCTCTCTCTACGAATGAGCTCCTGGCACTCACAAAAAAACCTGAAAGCAAGGGGTTGCATTACCAGCATGGGACAAAACTCTGAGTCCAGACACACTCACACGTGCTCCTCTGGATAGGTTTTAGATTTTTATGCAATGTTTGCTATATAATAATATAAATTAGAAAGGGCAACTAGTACCCAAATAGATTTGCATATAACTGCCAGGAGGCACAGCTAACAAATGTTTTCCTTGTAATGGAGCCGAGGCTGCAATTCCTTATTTTCAGGCAGAGTTCTTTTCACCTTAGGCACAACCTGCAGGACCTGAACCAAACTGTTTAAGTGATATAGTTCTGAATTTCATTTACTCCTCTGGGAAGGACTATTTTATAGACTTAAGAGGTTAAAACTACTGCTTGAAGAATTCTTCTGCTAGCATTTCCACTTGTTTGTGTGTGTGCACGTGTAGGCCAACATATCAAATAATTTTATCTTTCAGAGAAGGGAAAACCTTTCAGGTAATTTCAAATTTTTTACAGTTTAAGGGTGGGATGATTTGCCAGGAGTAAAGGTTAAAAGCCAGGAAAAGGCACTGGAGATGAGGTTTGGCATGGCACTGCAAAGAGCAGTAAATCTTATGTTAGCAGATTAACTCTGGCATAGGAAGACCCCTTTATTGTAGTTCATCAGCACAAGATGAACATAAGCAGTAATATTTCTGCTTTCTGGATGACATCCAGTGAAAATGAATAGACACAACAATTTTTCTTTTTTTTTCCCATGGCATGGATGACTGGATCTACAGGGTAAGGGTCATTCAGTGAACAAGAGTTATTTCTACATATAAATAGAAGGAATCAAGCCAGCTTTTCTTATTTTCACACAGATTTAGTAAAACAAACCGAAAGGGATAAATACCCTTCAACTTTCCTAGCGACTCGGACTTTCATACATGACAAACTCTTTACCAGAGTGAAGACCCAAGTGAGCAGGAGGACATGTGACAGTACCTCTAACATTTTGGATTATTGGAGAGATGTGTTGATGAAATTCCTTAAACTCAAGGTCGCGAGAAGACATTGGGAAAAGAAAGCAAACATGAAGAGCAGAATGTGGGAAAGAGGTCCTGGGAGCCACATCAAAGAGAAGAGCTGAGGCCTGTACACAACACAAACCCAAGTGCCTGACCACCTGTGCTTCTGGTGTAAGGACTTCAACTCCTCCTTCACCTCAAACTTGATATTTGAAAAGCAAATACAACTTTTAGGCCTCAAACAAGAGCAGAAGCAAAAATTACTTCTTATTTTTATTTTATCACACTGGGGAAGGGAAAAAAATGGATGTTAAAAATTGAATCAGGCCTTCACGGTGATATTGATCCTACAGACCATTTTCTCTGGGTTTTTTTTCCTCTGGGAAAGACAACCTCAGCATTTTAGCATTTTCTGTTTGTTTGTTCCAAACTTTTTCATACATTTCTGGGTTGTTTGTTTGTTTGTTTTTTATTCTGATGAGGGAGCAGAAAAAGAACTGGAAGACACAAGTAAAGCAGTGTCATGGAACTGACATTTAGATTCCCTCTGAATTATGATAAAGCTCATAATTCAAAACAATTAGACTTTGTTGTTAATTTAAAGTGATGTTTGTAGCCCCATCTACATCCTTATTGAATTCCTACCAGAATATTCAGACAGAAAAAGGGATCTAAAGAACAGGACATCTATTTACATAAGGCAGTCTGGGAGAAATTACATTGTGTTTTTCCAGTGTAAACTCTTAATTCTGGAACAATCTGCTCAGTGGATCCATAGACAAGAAATAACTAAAATCATTACCAATATGTTTTACCTAAGGTTTACTCCATTAGGATATTTACTGCTCTAACCATGATATGTATATATATATATATATAAGAAAAAACCAGTAACTATGGGATATTGCAATATGGGATATGGCTTGAGAACATTTCTGAAAGCCTGATTTTCAGCTTCTTTTACTAAACAAGTAAACATGACCATTTAAAATACAAGCTTCTAATTCAATCTGAGTTGTTGTTGTTGGTTTTTTTTTTTAAGCAGCCAATTATTTAATAAAGCCAATTTTCGTGACTTCAATTTATCTCATGAACAAAAGAACATGATGTGATTTTAAGGGTATTGGTCAAAATCAAGCAAATCTGTCCTACTCATTTTTGGCAGCCTGGTTCAACCTGAACTAAGATCCAAACCAGTTTTACAGGAACTGAGATATGGTGCAAAGCAGAACAAAATTACACAGGTCTGTGAGACCAGACAAGGTAAACCTGATCTTTTCTGTTATCCAGCATGGCAAACTGAAGTCAATAGGATCCAGAAAACCCTATTTGCTTTCTAATTCTTGATCATAACACAGTGACTGGAAAGAGCAGATAACAACAAGAGAGCAGATGCCATCTCTGAATTAAGAGTGGAAGGTTGGACTGAGTTCCTGTCCTAAGGCAGAGGAAAAGGATTTTTTGCAGCAACAGGTAGGCTGCAAATAAAAGAGATGGCAGCCCCCCAAAACAAAGAATATTCTCTAAGTTTGCCAGATTTCTGACATGGTGAGCAGAAAGTACAGCCAAAAGGAAGACGTGGAAGTGGAAAAATGCTCTTTCCCCCTGCTTAGTTCCCAGGATTGCCCAAGTGCTAACACTGACCATGGGGCAAGTTAAAGCAAACCAGCAATTCAAAAGGCCTTTATTTGGAATTCATTTGCAGTAGCCTAAAGCTCAGTGATCTGTGCCATCCTAGAGCAGCTTGTTTCAAATCAACTTTTCTGCTAGCCAAAGAGGAATTCCTGATGGAGGAGCCTGGATTCAGAGGAGCTACCAGGTCCTGTCAAACAGGTCACAGTCCAAGCAAAGTTATGAGTAACAGTACTCAGAGTGTAACCATATCTCCTCCTGCACCTGGTCTGAATTTGGCACATGAACACAGTGTATTATGTTCAGATAACTGTCTGAAATTCAGGGGTCAGACACACGAAGGAGTCAATCCTGATGTAACCGAAGGCTAAATGTTGCAAGAGGAATATCAGCTTTAGTGCACTCCCTGCTTCAGCCAGTGAAAGCATGAGGTGTATGGATTACCTCAGACCAGTCTTTCCTAAAGAGGTGCCTCTGAGGTAATATTGCCTGGAAACTGGAGTGGCAAGAAGGGTTTCTCAGCAGCTGTGCTGTAACTAAAGCTGTTGTAAACTGCTGCTGTGCCCCTACCAAGGGATAACCTGTTTACCTGTGCTAAGCACATACAAATGTGTTTATTTCTGTGCATCTAATTCACGGGGAAACACAAACTTTGAACAAGTGAGGAAAGATTAAGGATATCTGTTAAAGAAAGCCAAATATATGGCTTTGGGACTTTTGAGAAGATCTGATCTGAAACCATGAATTGCCATTG